GGACACCGTTGAGAGCCCCTCTTCCGTGTCTTATGTTACTTGTGTTGAATAAAGAAGGCCGACACTTGTAACAATATATAAGAAAGCAGAAAGAAACCAGAAGAAAAAAAGATTTTTTTTTTTAAACTGATGATATATAAATAAATCTTGTAAAAAAGTTTGAAAGAAAAAAAGAAAAATATTACAAGATAAATACTAATAGGTAAATTAAAAGCAGAAATGAGAATTATAGTTTAAAAGAAAATTTGAAGAAAATTAATATTGTTTGGAGAAAAGAAGGTATTTTTAGTAATAAAATATAAAGTAATCATAATGAGTTGTAATATTCATACTTAGAGAGTTGTAGTTATATAATTATAACAATAGTAATCTAGTATAAAAATTAATATAACAGATTACATATAGATATCTATAGGATAACCAGGTGAATTAAAACTTAAAAAATTAGACATTGAAGGGTATATAGCTATTTAATGACATTTTTTATATATAAAAACAAATCTAAATAAAGTTTTGATATGATTGCTAAATTTAAAAAAAATATATATATAAAAAATATAAAAAAATATATAAAAATATATAAAAAAATATAAAAAAATATATATATAAATCAAAACCTATTTGAGATCAACTTTAGTTAACTACTTAGCTAAGTTTAGTTAACTAATTAGTTAACTAAACTTAGTAAAATATTTAGTTGACTAGAAATTCTATTAAACTCAAATATGTTTATAAATTTTTGAACTAAACTTGAACTAAACACAATAAAAAAATCAGATCTAAACCTAAATCTGAACATATTTTTAATCTTATACAAGTTTGAGTTCAGTTTGATTTTTAGACTAAACTTGAACTTGATAAAAGTTCAGTTCAGTTTAGTTCAGCAGGAGCACTAACCACTACACTAAGATTACCAAACCTTACTAATTATTTTTTAAAACTTTAAATTAAAATATACTATTAAACCAAATTTAATAAATTTTTTTTTATTTTAATTTTATAGCTAAGTAAAATTAAAATAAAAAAAATTTATCAAGTTTGATTTAATAGTTGTTGAGATATTTTAATTTAAAGTTTAAAAAAATTTACTTAGAAACAATTTGCTTAGTTTCGATTAACATTCCTTATATAAAATAGTATGATTACATGCTCTGTTCTGTAGTTAGTAAAGTTTTTATACTGTTTATATCTTATATAAGTATATATTAAACAGATAAATTAGGTTAAAATTTTGTAATTAATTAGTTAATTATCATATATAATTATAGATAAATTTACAAAAATTAACTAATCATATAAATGTTTTTCTGTATATGAGCATGCCATTTGGCTATATGGCATACCTATGGGCATGCCCCTGTGCCCTGAACCCTACAGCTACGTAATGTAATTACAAATTCAGCTTGGGATTTAAAATAAAATGTATAAAAGATCTTGTGCCATGAAACGTCCAATGTTTTGACGAGCTCCGGACCTCCTACCTAGTAACTAATTGCGGCAGATTAAAACGAAACCAGATGAAACTTCATACTACTTTGATTTCAAAATTACGAGTCATCAAGATTTAAAATTAGGCGACATTGATAAATAGTCAAATATTTAAGACGCTACCGTTACTAACGATGCCTGACAAATTTTACGAAAATTTGTAATAACAATGGCTTTATTTATCAACTTTTTATAGTGCCATATGTAACCATTAATAAAATGTTTAACCATAACAATCAGATCTCATAAAACGACCGAGAAATTATTTTATAATAAGAAAAATTATAATGATTAATATATAAATTTTTATTTTATAATCATAATCATTATTTGTTTGTGATTTATAACTATTGACTCCATTTAAATTGTCTACATCTGTATCTAAATTTGGATCATTAATATCTCACATAAGAAAATGTAAATTTTATAACAAATTTAAAGATCCAATATAATATTTTCTTGAATAATGTTCAATCTTAAGGTTCAAATCTATCAGCAATTTTTAAAATATCAGAAAATATTCCAAAGGCCGTAACAGCTGCTCCGGCTCCAGCTCCTTGAATAATTAAAGGATTGGGAAACCTCTGGGTAGTGAATGCAATCATATTATCACTACCTTTAAGTGTCGCAAATGGATGTGATAACGGTAAACTGTAATAGATTAAAGATTATTTTAAGTATAAAATTTATTATAGATTAATATCAATATCAAGAGGAAAGATAACATACCTAACCAACTTAACACCGCTTTCACCACAAACAGGATCTATCACACCAACATATCTCAAAACCTGGTTGTTATTTTTTGCTGTTTGTTTTAAATTATCAAAATGTTAATCGAATTCTGATAATCTTGACAAGAATTCAGAAGATGTGGCCAAGTTACGTAAAGGTTCAGGTACAATATTTTCTACAGGTAATGTATCAAGAGATAGGTTCATCCCAGCAATTCTACCAAGAATTACGACCTAATAAATTATAAATATAATTGTAATTATTTTGTGTATGGAATTATATTATCAAAATATGCATTTAATTTAAAAATGATAAACATTACTTTACGAGCAACATCTAACCCATTCAAATCGTCACGTGGATCAGGTTCCTAACAAATGTTAACGTTAAAGTATAAAGATAAATTAAAAATTTTTTAAATCAGACAATTTGAAATTAATCAATAATTTTACCGTGTAGCCATTATTTTTCGCAACAGTAACAATTTCAGAAAACTTTTGCCCATTATCATCACCTGATTTTGAGAATTCATTAAAAATATAACTTAATGTTCCCGAGAATATACCTTCAATCCTATTAATTTTATCTCCAGTTCGAACCAAATCTTTCAATGTACTAATAATTGGTAAACCAGCACCAACTGTACTCTCATTAAAAACGAGCTTCTTATTCTTTTTTGCTTCTTCTATGATTTCTTTATATAATGTTGCTTCGCTACTAAAAGCCTTTTTATTGGGTGTTACAACATGTAGACCTTTTTCTAAGAATAAAGGATATTGAGAAGCTATTTCTTGGCTTGATGTATTATCTATGATTATTGCCGGTGTTGGGCTATTGGACACATAGTCAATAAACACTGAAAGGTTTGCTGTATTTCCTTGAGTTTGTAAGGTTTGTTTCCAAGTGGAAAGTTCAAGTGGTGAGTAATTTGGTGTACTTAAAAGTTGCTTAGAAGAGTTCGTAAGTGCAATAACAGAAATTCTTGGAACAGAGCTAGCATAAGTTGCTAGCTGAGAAATAAGTTCAGAACCAACTAAACCTACTCCTATTATTCCAATGTTAACCATAATGCATATACAGTAATAAAAGAGGTTATGGTATCTACGACTTTTAATGCTCGATATTGATTGAATATCCATCAGATTGGTTATCGATCCTTAAAATTGATTGGCTGATTATAAGTTTAGTAGATAATCATTTAAGTATATTCGTTAGCAGTACCAGTATCTGTTGTCAGTTAGTAGTGACAAAGGTATAGGTATTATCTTTCCCAGAACTTATTCGAATCACACTCGCAAGTTAATTTAATAATTATTTATCCACCCATTTTTTTGATAATTCAACACTCCTACCCAGTAATTTTAACTTTGATCAGATATTTCGGCATCTAGCCATAACTAAAAAAATTTCATTAATTGGTTAGATGTTGTTGAGACTCAATTTGTTCAAAACAGTTCTAACTACGAAGACAAAACCTAAGTTCTGAGATTGAAAAAAAAAATTAAAGAGTGTAAGTCAAAGATTTTAATCTTATTACTTTAGTTTATTTAAAAAATAACTGTGTTAAAGACATGTCTTCAAAATATATTTTTATTAGATGAAATTCACCATCTGTTTAATTATTTCTTAATAAACAAACCATTTTTTTTTTAAATTTAGGTTAGAATGAGGTCTTTATTAGGATTAATGTGTTTATTATATGTAAATTTAAGTACTGAAAACTTAGTGTCATGATGCAAGTTTTTATAATAAAATTTTAAGATATTAATGATTTTTAATTTTTTAAAAATTTCTTTATTATCATTACACAAGATCCTGCGATTTTATTGGTTAATCGTATGGAGTGTCGTCAACTAATAGGGCCCATTTTTATATTTTTTAAAAAAATGAGTTTTTATTAGATCCATGTATATTTTGACATGATTGATTTTTCAATTATAAATGAAAATCGATTTGCATAATGAAAAATAGAGATAATGTAGAAGAAAAATTACACGAGGCCAAGCACATTACGAGATTACTCGATAGTCGCCTGTTACTTTTAACCAATCAAAATCATGAAAGTTGGTTAATCTGAAAATCGATTAAACTCAATTATCTCAAAATGAGATATATGTAAAAATGGGTCTTTTTAGTTGATAACGGTATAGTGAAATGACCCGTTGAAAAATATGTAACCCAGAAGTGAACCCGCAGGTCACCTAAGTTGATCAACGGTTCTACCCAAGTAACGGGTTACCTGTTTAACTCTAGTTAAAATTATGTAACCTATAAAATCTGATGTCTAGCTAATTAGTATCAATTATGTAAAATAATTTTTAATTATTTTATACTTATATTTTTTATCTTTAGCATATTAACAAAAGTTTTTTTTTGAATTTAACTATAATCATTAACTAAATATTAACTCTAATTTAGAATACAAAATTTTTAGTTTGAAATTTTGTTTATGAAATAATCTTTGTATTATAAGACTATACAAAGTTAATTAATTATTTTTTATAATATATAAATTTAAAATAACTTATTTATCTAGCTTTTAATTTTTTAATTATGAAAATTTTATATATTTATTATTCAGAAAATATTAAAAAAATATATAATATTTTTTTAATTTTTAAAAAAATTTATTCAGAAATATTCATATTAATAACTTATAAATTTTTTTTTAAAAATTTATAAAAGTTAACTAACAAAATTATAAAAATAACTAATTAACTTTATATAATTTAATATTACAAATTTTAATATATAATTTTTTAATAAATCACAAAGTTGTAGTATGACTACTGAAAAATATATATATATATATATAATCTTTTAAATTTTTTTATTAATATATAGAAGATAGTTTATAAATTAAATTTTAAATTAGATCTGATGATCTTAGTGTAGTAGTTAGGTTGTTAAACTATCATGTAAGAGGTCTGAGGTTCAAATCTTACTGTTAATAAATTTAAATAATTATCCAGATCTTTGTATTTAACTTATAATAAACTCTGTTCATTTTTAAGGATTGTAATTTTGTAAATTATATTGTACTAATATTAATCAGATATTAGAAGTTTAATATAATGTTCAGAGAGACATAACTTTATATGAATAAATCTTAATAGGATCTATAGGCAAGAGACCTACATAGTAGAAATTCTGAGCTAGATAAAGTAGTACAAATTTTAATGGTTATACTAGTTAATACTTAATCTAGTAATATAAAAATACTAATTAAGTTAGATATAAGTAAGTCTATTTCATAAAAAAAAATAGCAATACTAATATAGCTTAGTTAATTAAATTTGAGAGGATTTTTTTATTTTTATTTTTTTTTGTTATTAAGGCGGCTTACATTGCTGAAGGAATTTTATTAGAATTGTATATAGAATATATATTAATAGTCCCTACTATTTGTAATTACATGAAGAGTATACAACAAGTTACATGTACAACTTTAGTCATTGTCTAATTTAAGTAGTCTGCCACACAGACAATTAGACTATCTAATTGGTTTTACACTATACTACCATACTAGTAACCTGCCTGTGAGTTATCTATTTAAACACTCTGTTTATTAACCTATACAGATTCAACCTAACGTCACTACAACACCTAACCACTTAAGCCAGCTAGCTTATTATGGATCTATTTATTCAGAATAGCTTAGATCCTCTCAGGATACATTGTATCTAATGCATTGTAGATACTGCAGAGCTAGTTAATCTCGAAGTATACCTACTAGAATGGTCTGTACCTATTTTACAGATTCTTCTAGCTTAGACCCTTGTAGATATTCATACAACTCCAGTTTCTACTGTAGCTCTCTACCAGTTTTCTGTATCTATCTTCTCAGATGTTTCACAAGGCAAATCCTCCTAATCTAGTTAGCTGCTAAGCCAGGTTAGTATTACTGATCCTCCTTGTAGAACAGATTTATATGCATCTAACTCGATCTGCATCTTTCGTAGAAAGTTTCTTTTCTAGATCAAGTGTTAGCTAGTATGACTGTTGAAGGCCGTACTACTTCACCAACTTAGGATTTTTATCATGCAGATTCCCTGCTCGTAGATTCTATCAATATTTATTTATGTAATATTACATCTCACCAAACATCTTGTTACACTTCTAATATTCAGATGATATTAGTGCAATGTGATTTACAGAGTTACAACTCCAAAAATGAACAGGGTTTACCATAAGTTGAGTACAAAGGTCCAGGTAATTATTCAAATTCATCGACAGTAGGATTTGAACTCTAGACCTCTTGTATGCTAGTCTAGCAACCTAACCACTACACTAAGATTACCAGACCTTGAGAGGATTTTTTTATAAAATATTTAAAAAATTATTGATAGAGAATTATAGTAAGAACTGAGTTTGTATGAATATTAACAAGGGTTAAAACCTATGAGTAGTTTATAAAATGAGTATAGCTATTCTTAGAGATAGAGATTAGATCAAGAATAAAGTAGTTTTTAGTCTTTACTACTCAAAGTAAATAAGTTAGTATTATAAAAAAAATATTTAGAAGTTAGAGAATTTAAATAGAAAATTACAAACAGATAGATCTAGCAATCTTAGTGTAGTAGTTAGGTTGCCAGATTGCTATACAAGAAGTCTAGAGTTCAAATTCTACCGTCAATGAATTTGAATAATTACTCAGACTTTTGTACCTAACTTACAGTAAACTTTATCTATTTCTAAGGGTTATAATCCTATAAATTACATTATACTAATGTTAATTAAACATTGAAAATATTATACAATATTCAAGTTATATTGCACGAATAAATCTTAATAGGATCTACAGGTAGAGGATTTGCATGGTAGAAATTCCAAGTTTGGTGAAGTAGTACAGATTTTAATAGTCAAGCTAGTTAATATTGATCTAGTTAAAAACCTGAGTATGAAGGATATAAGATCAATAGGTGTAAGTAAGTCTACTAAGTAATGCAGCCTAGTACTTTGCATTAGTAGCAACACTAACTAGCTTGGCAGCTAACTAAATTAGGAGAATTTACTTCATGAAACATCTGTCTGAAACTTGGTGAACTATATCTGATAGAAGGCTAAAGCAGAAACTAGATTTGTACGAACATCGATAAAAGTCTAATTCAGATAAATCTGTGAAATAAGCATATAACTACACTA